TTTTTTTTCCTTTTTGCATGCATGATTTCACTTTAATTATAAATTTAGACACAGCAGATGTTGCTTGCAATAGAAATCATTTTCATTACAATTCCACRGATCCTTCCATGCTGACTTTAGCCGTGAGAGACTGGAAATGGGAAAAAAAAAACCAGAGAAAATCTTGATTTTGGGAATTGTTGAACTCGAGTAAGAGGGGAGCAGGAAGGAGTGAAGGAAGGAGAAGGAATTTACCTTTCTCAGGCTGAGAAAAGTAAAGAAATAAAACATTCCTGCTATTTTTGGATTATTTTATCTTTTCCTTTCCTTCCTGGTGTTTCTGGGAGGGTGGAAGGGTTTTTTGGTCCCTTGGGGAGCTTTCACCAGGTGGGTTCATCCGTGTTTGGGGTGAGATGATTTTCTCATTTTCTCAATTTCTCATTTTCTCATTTTCTCATTTTCTCAATTTCTCAATTTTTCATTTTCTCAAATTCTCATTTCTGATTCCTGCCTTGGATTCACTTCCAGCAGCTCCTGGAGAGCAATACCTGATAGATAAATATTCATTAAAAAATAAACCAAATAAACACCAAACACAGTCTGAGGGCTGCCARTCACCCCCTGCCATGAGGAATGGAGCTGAAAGGACAGGAATTTCTGTGCCATTGTTCATCTGTGTTTTCTTTGTTCCTCCTCCCCTTTTCCACTGCATTTTCACCCTTTAATCCTCTCCCCATCCATGTGCAGCTCTGCAGCAGAGCTCACAAACCCCTCCTCGGAGATATCTCAGCAGGAAAAGCAAATTTGGAGCCGTGAGCTGCTCTGTGCCAAAGAAATTTGGGTGTTTGAGCTGCAGGAAAGTTCAGGAAACTTTGGAGGGKTTTGTGCTGAGTCAGTTGTGGTTTTTCTCTGTAAAAAAGATGGATGAGGAGCTCCACGGGGTGTTTGTCAGGATTTTGGGAGTTTTTGGTGCTGTGAAAATCCCTGGGAATGGGAATCTTCCACTGGGAATGGCCTCTTCCACTCGTTCATCTTCTCCAGGGCTCGTTTCTCTAAATTTCTGATTTAGATTAATGTAGGAATTGAAAAAAAAAACAGCACAAGAACCGATAAATTATTTTGATAAAGCTCTTCTTCACTTCCACTTCTTGGTTCATTCTGATGCTCCCAAGATTTTTGTGGAAGCTTTTAGTCTGAGTATAATGGCAGGTTTTAGTCAAATTCCTAAAAATGCATGAAGTCACCTCTGGATTTCAKCCACCAGGAGGATAAARTCAGATTGCAAAATGTTCCTGAACCTGTGGGTTCATGAGATTGCCACCTCTGATGCTTGAGGCTGGGCTGAAATTCAATAGTTTTGTGTTAATTTTGCTCTAAAAGCACGGGGATGG